CCCAGCCGTCCAGACCACGTGCGGCTCACCTGGGTGAGTAGGCCTACAACTTGTGCAACTCCCACTTCCTCGGACCACCATCGGGTTCCGCTCTGCGACTGCGTTTGCCTGCTCAGTCTCTCTGCCTCTCTCCTTTCACTGCGTCTCTGTTCTGTTTCCTCTGTGGCTCCGTTTTGGCCAGCAGTCATACTCTGTCACTGTGCTCCCCTGTCAATTGTCTCCACAGGTGTGTTCAATTTAGCGGCTGGCTGTGGCCAAGTCGGACTCAAACAGAAACTACTCACTAGAATTCAACACAAATACATGCAAAACTAAGCATGTGTGTGCCAACCCAAAAAAATTAAAATAAAAAATATAACAAATATGAGATATAATGCATGCAACTCAAGACATAGCAACCCAAAATATAACTACAATAAAGTAATTAAAGACAGCAGCCCTTTGTAAAAGAGAATTTTGATCAAACTAGTTTGCCAGTGATTACGATCAGCAGTCCAAGTAGCTTTTCTTAAGGGTTTTTATGTTTTTCCCAACTATTGTGCGAATGAATGAATACACAAATACACATGACTACAGGGTGGGACTTTACTCAGCTGAATGTACAGGATAAAGCCAAGAAAACCATTCCCGTCTGACAGTGTTGCCCCAGGCTCTGTTTCACAGTAGACAGATGGAAGGAAACATCACCACAGCATGTACAATCGCCTTCATCAAACAATACACAAAGGCTGTTTTAACAGTTACTTCTTGAAAAAGGGAAAGATTTCCAAGAAAGCAGAATTATGATTTAGGCATCCATCTTCAAAAAGGAAACACTGTCGAGTTGATATCTGTTGATGTTCCGCATGTATTTTGGAGCATTTCTAATGTTTGTGTTTATTTTGAGCAAAAAGTGACAGACAAAAGTGAGTAGGTGAAACATTTGTTCTTCTTTTGCTCTGCAAATTGATCTTGCACTGCTACAGGAAGCAGATGTGTGATGTACATGAAAAAGAGCAGAACGGCATCACAATACTACCGTTTTATTATTAATTTGCATGCGTTGTCATTAGCTGCCACGTTTCCACCATTGCTTTATCATACAATGATCACATTTAGTTTACAACACATTTCAGCACAGAGGCCCTATTTTGTCATTTTAAACTTGTTTCTTTCTTTCTTTTTGAACTGATGGTGCAATTGCTTTAAGAAAAAATAATGAAACAAATAAAAATGTAGTATCTTTCACGGACGAACATGACATGACAAAACCACACAGAAGTCAATGCTTGTACATGCAATTAGTAGTTTTCAGACATGAACACACATTTGAATCAGCTCTCATTTAACAATAACCTATACCTCACACACACACACACACACACATACACACACATTAATTTGCCACTGGAACATTAGGCGAGGACATGTCAACTGACAATAATGGTGGTTCACAGTGCTGGCTGTAGTCTAATTGGTGTGTTGCGAATACATGTCACTCAATGCAAGACTCATTAGCCTCAAGAGTTGTGTGCCTTGTGATGTATTCTGCCTCATACCGCTTTGGCCAGGCTTCAACTTCTGACAGGATCTTGTTGACAGTGGTCTTCTCTGCAAAAGAATTTACTGTCAACTTGAGGCTGATTGGTTGATTGAGACAGGGAGATGTTTAATGTTTCACACAATTAAAATGGTGCTTCGGCCATTTAAAGATCATGTGCAGTTCTCTGCTGATAATATAAAGTTAGAATGACAACCGTACCCTTCTCTTAACGTGAACCGAACTGGAAGAAAATGATGTTAGATCTGTGATCATTTAGGATTTTTGTAGTTAAGCATGCAATGGCAGGCCAAGGCGTAGGTTTTAGTTCCTATATGGCGTCACTCAATCAGTTAGCTTAGGTGTCTTTTTAAGTAATTGACAAAACTCTTAAAATGCTGTTTCTGGGAAAAGTGTTAAAATAGCACGGTCAAAAGTCAAAGTCTAGAAAAATTCCATTCCAATTTCCCCCAAATCTAATCGCCACTGGATGTGATTTCTACAGTATACATAATATAAGGTAGAGACAAAGTATACAGTACATGAAGTAGATTTCTCAATGGTGGTTTTTGCCACCCAAGCAGAGATTATTAAAAAGCTAAAACAAGACTAAAATCTCAATATTTTTGTATGTGGAGACTTCCCATATTTTAAATGGTTGATCATTTTTAAAGCAATAGTCTGATACGGATGACCATGTGATGCCCTGGGATTTGTCTCTCTGCTTTTAGCTATTTTGCCTCCGACATGATAGACTGTAATCGTCTTGGCTGAAGGCCTTTTCTTCTTCACTTTACTGCTCTCGACAAAACCACCGTCATGCATGCTGCATATTCATACTGTATGGAAAAGTTCAAATATTATTTAATTCCGGGTATCTTTTTTTTGTCCATCTTGGGTTTCTACATCTTGTCTCTGAAATACTACCTCTGTTGCCAATAAGGCAAAAGCAAATATTGAATTGTCCTTGCTCTGTCCACTCCATCTTCCTCAATTCTCTTCTTTCTCCAGAGATCCTTCAGAAAGTGGGAGAGAAAGAGATATACAGAAAGAAATGACACAATAAGTGTAGTTTCAACTCGTGGTAAATCTCAGCGGTTCTTGAAAGTTGCCATGGATACAAACCTGTATGGACAAGACAAAAATAAGTTGTGTCAGGATGTCTCCAACTCTTCAAATGCGTCTGCTGTATTTCTACAGAATATTCTTTGGACACTTTGCACTGCCAACTTTCTAAGTTCTTTCGTTTTTATTGCTGGACAGAGAACATTTACAATTTAGGCTCAAATACTTAAGTATAAATAAAAGAAAGAGAAAAAAAACATGGCAGCATTTACCGGAGTGATGAACAAAGATGTTGGTACAGCAGCTATTTCATTGTGGTCTCTTTGGACAACTTATGCTGTTTAAGCTGAAAGGATAATAAAAAAACACAGAATGGCATTGAATCGAGTAGGCAAAGAATCTATCCTTTCTCAAAAACTCTGTCTGTTTAATACACGGCGACCTTGCAATTTAGCTCTTCTACCCCTTCCTGCAGCCACCCTCTTGCCCAGCTGTGCCAGACTGATAAGATATATTAGTGAGTGTGCTCTTTCTTCCAATTATTTCTTCAACATGTGTGCATGACAAGTCATGGATTCGTTAACAGCAAGCATGATTGAAGGCGAAAAAGGTATATTTGATCATATCTTAAAGAAACAAAAGCAAGCTTCTCTACATACCACTGAGTCCCTACAGGGAACCATTTTGATTTAACATTGTGGGGAACGGTTGTTATATTTGAATGTTTGGACAGAACACAAGTTAACAGTGATGTTTTAAGTCTTAATATCTTAATGTTAGCATTTCACATAACAGTATGTCCCCTGATTCTCCTATAGCATGAGATGTGTAATAGCCGTTCCACTTTCCGACTATTCCCAACTAACTGTTGATGTTTTCAAACTCAACCTTGAACTGTGTTGTATTTCAGAAACTAAAAAAATAGATGGGGGGGCATGTCGTGTTGGAATTATTGAATAGAACAAGAATCCGTGGTAAATGTCAGTGGCTGGACTATAAGAGATAATCTTCTGCTTTGGTTAAGATGCTACAACATTATAACCAAGGGTTTCTTGCCATAAATAATCAATCAAGGGTAAAACAGTAATCTCCACCAGTGTCAGACAGGTTTTACACACATAAAAAGCTATATTTCAGTTTGGTGAATAATAACAGCCCACTGATGCATCCTATAGGATTTGACACATGTAGATTTTCTTTCCAGCATATTAGAAATGCCAATAGTTTCCTCTGAAAGTTATTTTTTTAAATATAAAAAAGGCATATTGCATCATGCATGAGGAATTTTGAGCCTTCTGACAGATACTACTGCTTTTTGGCTGTTAAAAAGAGGTCTGGGGAACATCCTCAGAGACTAGCAGCAGAATTAAGAAAACACATATTGTTTGTTGTGTGCTGTGTTTTCTCACTGGATGAATAAAGATGGCTCTGCAATTTCCCAGCAGTCACTTTTAGAGTAAAATATTCTTTGGCCTAAACAAAACAGTCTGCTTGTCTTCAGGGATGAGTGTTGTGGCATGCAATGATGAGGGAAATGGTGAACAGGTGAAGAATGCTGTTAATGAAACCTTGCCAGGGGCTAAACTTGTTAAAATGCAAAGTTACGTCCATTTGTTGTATGAGGTGATGGCAAAGGGTAGATGATGATTTGACCTTTGCGTGACCATAGCCCTGAATAACCCCCATAAAAGCACCTGTTAGAGAGAAAAGTGTAAGCTTGATGGTTTGTGATCAGGGATGTTTGAGCCGGTCGATATGTTGCATTGATGCCTGTGTGACATTGTGCTCTTCAGCCGCGGGCAGACTTGTTGATGTTTCCCCGCAATAGGTTTTATGGTCCGAATGACACGCTGTTAAACAACGTTTAGCAGTTTGCTGAATATCTGATTCTCACGTTAGTATCATTTTAATGAGGCATTTGAGTTACATTGTCAATTTTTATACAATGACATTTTCCAGATAATTTCTTGTTGCCTTGCATTTCAAGTGTTCAAGGTTCGTAAACTGAACTGCGATAGGCTTATAGACCACAGGAATTAGGTTATTTGACACCATTTTATCCATGGAAACTATGGAAATTATGAGCAAACCCATTATCGGTCTAATTTCTCTTCTGATCCATGATAAGAGCTCTGCCACAGCCTGTTGACACTCTTGGGATTGTGTGAAAAGAAATTGAACCTCATAATTATTCAGAGGTGCCAATGATACAGGAGAACTAATTGGAAATGAAAAGCAGAAACAGAGCTCGGTATAAAAGTGAACAGTGCCCCCCTCTTGCTTGCAGGCGGATTTCTGGAGCACTGTAGCTACTGCAAACAGCAGAGGCATCTGTGGTCCACGCATACCCCGCCATCCACCTACATCTCAATGCAAGCAGCTCTCCAACGCAGTGCGGCTTTAAGAGGACCGGGGCTCTTAAATCTGCGGTTGGCTCCTCCTTCCGCCATGATGTCAGTCGGAGGGAGAGCGAGAGGGAGAGAGGTGGGCAGTGTTGAGGAACTGAGTTCATACAATACTACTGAGACATCTACAGCTTAGCAGACAGATACGGTGAACCGCCTATCCCGGCTCCTGTAAGTGATGCTGCGCTGAAGCACACTTTGATCCAACTCCATTGGGGGGCGATGCGCTCTCTGCATCCCTCCTTCAAGAGTTTTTATGGGAGCGTGCACAACCTCGAATCAGTCAAAACAAGTGGTCATAAAATAAATTAGGTTTTAAGCTTTCAGTTTTTCATCAGAAGTCCTTTTTTTGCGCTCTTGGATTGAAGTTTTACGCGCTGGTCAAGAAGCATTTAACGCGCACGTGCAAGTTCTGTGCCAGCGTTTTGATGCTGGTAAAACAAAAAGTAGGAATTTCAAGGCAAACGTAAGATAGGGATTCAAAGTTAATGTAGAACAAGCCGGGATCGATGCGTATCGTCGGCCGTGGGATTGCGAGCCCAAGACACCCGAAGAGGAATTACAGCGTCCTTTTCAATCAAACTTGATCGCTGTGCTTGATTTTTTTTTCTCTTGCACAGGAGGACCACAGTTTTTCTTAGCGCATGGATAAGTTTTTGTAGTGGATAACATTTTTTTTCTACTTGCATTACGTTTTGCTACCGCTTCTGATGAGGATCCTCTCCCACTTCAGTTTAATTCGTGGCACTTCTCTTTTTGTAAATCCGTGATGTCTCCACGCGACGGCACCCACGGCTGATTTTTCATCATATTCGAGCGGAAAAGGTAAGATTTGCTCTTAACCACGACTTTACTGCTGAGATCAAACTGTTTTTATATTTGTCTTACTTTAGTGCTCTCTGAGCATATGTATGCACATGACTGGTCTGTATCCTGAGCGCGTTCCGAGAAGCTGGAGAGCGCCCAACAGCCTAATTTGTGTGGTCCGTATAAAATTCAAATTGACGTCTCAATACCAGCGAGGACCTGCGTTCTATTTACAATCACTTAAGAGCAACATGAGCCGGGCGGAAAATGTAGTGCTAGTGTACGGCACTTGGATAAATCACTGTGTTGCGATAGTGGGTCATTTTGATTTTCCTAGAGCTGCTCCAAATATATAACTGGCGTCCCCGCGCACCTGATGTAAATAGAAATGATCCACGGACACGGCGCTCAATGGAGAATCTATCCGAGTTGTCGCATTGTGAGTGTATGTACCGCGCGGTTGGTCACGACTTCGGGCGTTATTTAGTCTTTGCTTAACACTGATCGCTAGATAGATAGGCCTACTTTCCAAGAGCATCCAACTGCAGGCACTTGTCAGTGCAGGTTTCTCAGCAGCTTGGCCGTTGAGCTCGGTGCGTGGGTGCGCGGTAACAGCGCGCTCCTGGTCAAGCGGTTCAGCTGTCACAGACCGTAACCTCAGGGGCTCAGTCTGTTCACGCTTGGACTCTAGGAAAAAATACATAAATATATTATAGTTTTCTACCAGAAATAGTTCAAATAGTCACGATGTAAATCCCCGTTGGCCGGAAGATTAACCGCCACAGTTGGTTGTTTGAGTTCCTAATACGTTATACCTGCTCAGTATGCAATAGATTATTACTGGGCCTGTTTTTAAAGAGTCCCACAAGGCCTACTGAGCTCTAGGTTTGCTTGAGAATTAAATCAAATGGTAATGTGAACCATCCCAAGGTGAGCAGTATATTTTGGCTTTAGGCTGAGGCGTTTATATTGAAAGAAGAGTCGGTGGGTAAATGGAAAGCAAGGCTAAGTATTTGTTTGATTTGAAATTCGCAATAAAACCATCTGCACATGCACATCCGCATTTCAAGTAGGTACAAGGCAACTGAAATATCCTGATTTATATAACAACCAAATCTCCAGTTATTCTTTTTATGCCTGTGATAAATTCAACTAAATATTGAGTGCATAGTGATGCGCTTAGGGGTCAATAACTTGTCAGAAAACTATGTGTTGTCAAGAGTTCATGGAGTAATTGAATAGTGTCAGAGATGCTTTCCAGGTATTGAAGATGTTGTTTTTGCTTTTAGTTTTAATCTTACTGTGTATGTTTGGTTGTTCACATTCAAGCTCCTTCAAAACTCTGCCTCCACAGTCGCATATACAGTTTATATAGAAAAAAAAACTTGAGTTTGCCAATCAGGCCATCTCTGGTTCATCTCTGGTATCATGTTGTAGTTGAACTGTCCTTTTTACTGCATAAGGGATAATATATTGAATATGACTCTCCACATTGAATTGAACCTATATTTCAGAATTCACGATGGTGTCTTGAGCACAAATTTCAACTGAAATATGGCCACATTGATATATATGAAAATGGTTTTCCAGTATCATTAAAAAATGCATTTCTATTTGAGCAATTATTCATAATAGGTTCGTCATAAGTTTTAATTTTTGTACTTTGTTTTAATTAATTGCATGGTTTCTCTGATAAATTAATTGTCCATAATTTAGAATTTTGTCACATTTTCATTAAAGATAATGGATTTTAAAGCCAAGTAGACATTAAAGATGATGTACAGCTACACCAAAATATTCACACTTATATTTATCATTAGGATTACATTTGCATGTATGGACTTCCCTCTTGAGGTCCACGATTACAGCGTTGTAAATTAGTTCGTCATTTTGCTAATGCAGGAGGGTCAGAAATATTACTTGGCGACCATTTCATTACCCAAGTAGTACAACTCTTCATAATCCAAGTCTATCTAAGAATGAAAAAACTGATTGACATGTGAAAAGCCACTGGTTTATGCAGCTTAACAGCATTGACGGACTTTATGCAAATATTGCAGAACAAATTATGGGTCAGAATTTTGATATATCAGCCATTTCCTGTTTCACTGATACAAGATGTGTGATGTTTGATGTGCAAATCCCAGTGATATTTGAACTCTAATATACATCTTTTGTCAGTATTAAATCTACTGTTAACATTGTCAATGTGGTCGTTTAAGCCGAGCATCATTTCATCGCACTCTCACTTTCCTGTAGAACTCAGGTAATGTCATTGCTGAAGTTTCCCAAGAGAAAACAACTTTTATTCCTCCACCATGTAAAGAGAATTGTTCTAGCTGTGTGGACTGAAAAAGAACTGACTGATCTTGACAGAAACCTGGTCTGTCAGGCTGTCAGCGATCCTTAAAGCTGCTAAAAGAGAAAAAGCCCAAGACAATCAAAAGTATTACTTCTACCAATGCCCTCTTTTGAAAATCTCTTTGGATCCAAAGGCATTATTGATGGATACAACAGTGGTGAAAACCTCGCTTTGACAGTTAAAGGACTCCAAACGTCTTGGTTCCCAGCCTCAGACTAACTACACAGAAAGTTTCCAGTTGAGGGTATCTTTAGGGGTGAAGGTAGGGGCTGACAGTAGCTGTATGTCTCCCCTCTCACTGCTACCTTTAGCCGATGCAAACAGCAGGAAGGCCTGTCCATCACACTTTTGTGTAAAGTGATCCTGGACCGGCCTGCTCCTCTTCACTGTGTGTCTCCCAAGAGGGAGACTTGAGTTTGCCTACTGGATTCAACCTGCTGTCGGGGGCTCAAAATAGCATTTCAGGAGACTAGTGAAATGTAAGCAAAGGAGACACTCTGACTGACACCTAGGATTTCTTTCTCCCTCCCTCGTACTTTTTCCCCCCCTTCCAGCACAATCCCTTCTCTCACCTAGCCTGTCCCTCAAGGACAGGCGTATAAAGAGTTGTGACAAGTGAAACGCCATGCAAATGTTGCAATAGCTTTATATATTTTTCTACTATATACACTACACCACATGTAGGCTCTATATGTATATCTCCTATACCAGTCATTAAGTTTCCTAACATCCCATTAGCATTGCCAGAGTGTCCTTTTTGTTACTAAATTTGTACTCCTACTCAAAAAACATACTACATCCCTTCATCCTGCGGAACATTATTGTCACTTATAAGGGGGAGGAAATCTAGATCATGCTTTGGTCCTTTCTTTTTTTTCACTTTTCTGAATCACATCCCATTTAAGGATGTAATTTAAACTTCATTATGCGTTGTGCGAGCTCAGCCTTGGACTGCACGGCGATCATCACAGTAAAGCAATTGCTGCTCACTCTCAGAGAGATGCACACTTCAAAGTAAAGGGTGTCACGGTAACTAATGGGATATATCCCATCAATATTGTGACTTGACAGTACAACATTGCCTGTGCTATATGTGTAGAATGAATTACCCTCACACTGATCAATGTCAGAGCCATGTTTTTTCATGTCACCCTGTTGTTTAATGAGTCTCATGTGACTGCATTATGAAATGTGTGAAAAGAAATCTGTCTTTACAGGCTGCATGAATGCCTTGCAATTGTTGCCGATTCAAAACCAGCTTAATTAAAGTCTTATTTTTAATCAATTCCCTTTTGTCGGTAGGCCGAAAGCTTCAATGGATAAGAATGCTGTTGCCTTGGCAATTTAGAAGACCCCTGTAGTGCAGTTTAGGTCGTCATACCTTTTCCACAGGATATTGTTTGACTCATGTAAATGGATGGGAATTTCATAAAGTAGGAAATATTATGATTCCCAGAGAGCTATTTGTGGTCCCTTGTTACTGTGGGGTATGAATGCATTTTCAGCACCAGCTGTGCATCGTTGGTGTGATGGCTGTCATACATTTTTGCCATACTTTGAAGAAAATGGACGTTTGATTTCAAGGCAGCTGCCTTATGAATATAAACCAATATCTTGAGGAAAATCTTGCAGTTGATAAACACTCAGGGGGGTTGGTGGACCTAAATACACAGTGGGATATGAGCAATGAACTTACAGTATATTAGTCGTTAAATATATTGCGCTGGAATACACATGGGGAGCCAGGATTATTATGAGAATTAAACATAGCGCTGTCTTGGTGGCTTCACCCTGATTCGCCATTGCACACTTCAACAATCTAAAGACCAGTAATGCAATGCTACTCTACTTCTAAAAAACCCACTGAACATGAATATACTTTGATAATTAAACTCCATTACCACCACTGTAATGCCAAAAGCCAATTAAAGCCTGTGTGGCCAAGCATTTATAGAGAGCTGTGTGATAATTATGGAATTTCATTTATTAACGATATCCAAGAATTGATTAAATGAATGAACAAATCCAAATGTGAGCTAGCACACTGCATGAAGTGAGTCCCCTAATAACTTACTAAATATGCCGCTAACTGGTGGAAGGTAGTCAATATTTCATACTAGTATATACTGGCAGGAAGGCATTGCAGAGTATGACTCCTTCATCATCTTCCAATGACCTACTTGGGTTGTTGGCAAGTGGGGTTCTTGCCCTTTGGCAAGCATTTGCACATATAAAACAGTTCAAGATTTTGTAGAACAACAGCATGAAATACAGTGGCAACCGAAGACAAGTAGATCTATTAATGACTACTGTTCAGTGATGGTAAACAATTTCATCTTAGGCATCACTCAGCACAAAAAGTAAACTGAAAGCTGTTCACAGTTGATGTTGGAAAAACCATTCGTCAGGATGTAATTAAGTTATGATTCAATTTTACAAATTTGACTGATGCCGGCACCCGCAGTAAATAACACATTGTTGTCTCCTTCCACAGCAGATACTCTAAACTGCGCTCTTATCATTCTGCGTATGTTTACACACATGGGCGTTCATGAAATATTTGAGAGCTCAATTGTTTGCATTCGGAGCAAATGAGGTTTTCCATTAATAGCTGCTGTCAAGCGGTACTATTGCGTGTGTGTGTGTGTGTGTGTGTGTGTGTGCACTGATACTCAAGGCTCAGTTCGGCTGCCTCCAAATAAGTCTGGATGTGGGGTGCAGTTTATGAAGACACCGCTGCACCATAATGACTGACATTGACTTGGATACGAGTTAAGTTTTTCTCTTCATCACATTTTTTTCATGCACGTAGTTCGTGAGCAAGCTTTCAAAAGCAAAGAATTTTATCACAACACTGGACTCCACCACTTTCATGCTTCTCAATAAAAATATGAAATGGTTCATTACAGCGATGAAATGGATTGATGGAATATGTGAACTACTAACCTTTACGTGTCTCCTTGCTCAATGGATGTCATCAAAGGTTAATTGTGTAAAACCGTCGTTAATTTGCTCTGAAAGACATACAAAGGATGTGTCATAACTAGTTAGGATGAACAGGTCAAGTTGAAAACTCTCCGTGAGGGGGAAATAGTAATAATTACAGCAGAACTTGAATGCCATGTCGTTTTGTGCACTGACATTGTATGTTCTGTCTTTCGCTCTTCTTTTTTCTCTCTCTCTCTGTCTCACCTCTCTTTTGGCAGAATTGCTGCTGTTCAAGTGAAGCTCCCATCCAGTCTTGAGTATGGACTTAGGAAGTCAGGCTCATGTGCTGGTGGTCTTGCTCGCCTGTGTGGTCTTGCCATGTCAGGCCCAGGAGAGGGACTACACGGTGAAGGAGGAGCAGCCAGAGAACGTCCGCATCGGGAACCTGCGCAAGGACCTGGACCTCAACCTGGACCCCAACATCAGGTTGTCCTCACCGCTGCAGTTCAAGCCTGTGTACAAGACAGGTGACGTGCCTTTGGTGAGGGTGGAGGCCAACACAGGGGAGATCTTTACCACCAATCACAGAATCGACCGGGAGAAGCTGTGCTCAGGGGTCTTCGCTGAGAAACGCTGCTTCTATGAGATCGAGGTGGCCGTGCTGCCAGATGAGATCTTCCGACTGGTAAAGATCCGCTTCCTGATCGAGGATGTAAACGACAACGCGCCCCTTTTCCAGTCCACTGTAATAAACATCTCCATCCCGGAGAACACAGCCATCAACACTCGATACCCAGTGCCCTCAGCATTTGACCCTGATGTAGGAATCAATGGAATCCAACATTATGAACTGGTCAAGGTGAGGCTCACCCCTATTTCATCTCTCACATAGAGAAAGTGACAATTAATAGGTATTTGTTGTGTTTCAGGGTGGCCTTAGTTATCTTAATTTTGACAAAATAAGTATTAATCGAGGTGGGATTTCTATAAAAGAAAACAATTGTTTAAATCACACTGTTTTGTGTTCGTATAAAGTCAATTTCTGAAGGCCCATTTGGTTCATTTATGAATATTGATTCTGTTTATTTAACACCAGGACTGCCACAGTACATTCCAGTCATGACTCCCATACATCCCTGTTGTATTGGATATTTACTGAATTCTCAGCTGTAATTGGATAGTACAAAATTATAAACACCCAAGTACCCGAAGCGCAATTTCTAACTTAAGTAGATGTTACTGTATCTCAAAATCTTCATGTTAATTGAATTCAATAGTGAATGAGTGAACGATATTGATAGTGAATGATACAGGCCTGGAGCCTCATGTTATTGGTACAGTACAAAGTTACTGGTTTGCTTTATGGACTTAATAGAATAAAACGCTTTTAGGCATTTTAGAAATCCAAGCACAGAACAATTACTTTTGATAAACCAAGGACCATTGTAGCAATATGTCTTGGAGAAACAATTACAAATAGATAAAACGGGTGAGAAAGTATGAAATTAATTGTCTTTTCAAATAGCTATGGAAGGCAAGCAGAATAGCAATCTGCACACATTTTATTGAAGGATTCTGACACACTGCTATGCCTGCAGCACGCCAGGGGTCTGATTGGGTGACTATTTGTAATCATTAAGTCCTTCCAATATTTACTGTCTTCAGATTTTTCTTATCATATGTTTTGCATGTAATATGATTCAGATTCTGCAGTACAGCTTCTCCTGTACACCTGCTATATTGCTTGTGTAGTGCTGTAGTCTATTTCCAAGTAGGAAATTCATTTTGACGCTTTGAATATTGGACCTATTTTTTCATAAAGTAGAATATGTCATAAGGCCTACAATATTTTATACCAGCCATTAATATTTCCATATGCATTATTTCATAATGAGAGAAGGCTATAAAGAAGGGGATGTTTTCACCATGTACAGTAATATCTGAGAACACGCATTAGAAAGTGCACACAAAGCATATATTGCATGTCCAATTTCCAACAACAGGTTACATGTGCTGAACTAAGTAGATATGTGAGAAGGAGAATACTGTATTATGTTAATAGGTGTCTCATGCAGAACAAGGGAAAACAATTCTTCATCATCTAATTGATGCTTTATTAAACCGCAGTGCAATTTTCTATGTTGCCTAATGGAGTCAGCCTTAAATCCAGAAATGTAGGATGATATCATGGACGCTTCATTTGCAGTCTAGACAACACTCTGTGCTTTGTGGATAGATGGATATTGGAGATGACATGAGCTCTTACAAATAAAGTGTAATTAAAGAGGGAGATGCAAGTACTCTGGAGGAAACCCTAAACATAATAAATAAAGAAAGGTTCGTGGATTTTGAGAGCACGGTGCAAAACAGAAATGACATGTCCATCTTGGAGTCTCACATGAAGTTAACACTGGGTTGGAATGAACAGAATCGTTTCTCTCCGTGTCTGCCTCGAATACCAATTTACATTTTTAGTCCCACTGCCAAGGCCTCTCCAGCGCAATGTCGTGAATTGTTCATGCCTGGAAAATCACCAACCAAATGTCCTGCTCATTATGATGATCATCTGCAATCATTTTCTTTGCCCTTTTCACAATATAAAGCTTTCTAAAACCCTCGCCTAGACTGTGGTTGTATTATCTTATGCAGGGAATTGTTCTTAGAGCGACCTCGGCACTGTGTCCCTGATTCAGTTCTTCTCATTATATTCTCATTGTACTCGAGATTAATTTCCTTGTGTTCCAGGTTCCATATGAGTAAAACACAGGGAACATCTTTAAAGGAGCCAGGAACATGTTCAACCTTTGGTATCTTTTATTTCAGAAGTGCAGTAGAAAGCCGAGGGTTTAGTGGGGAAGGAATGTGCAAGCATTTCCTAGAATAGCTCTTGGCCGCTAAGCCACCCTAGGACTATCTTTGTATGGTCCTGTGAGATTTGTCTCAGAAGCTCCCTCACAACGATAGTTTGCCCAGTTTCCTTGTGTTGTGCGAGGCACGGTGCTGAAATTGCTACCATTGTGTAGCACAGTGAGCCATACTCTGGTCCACCACTCCACATATGTAGCATGCCTGAATTGTCAACATACAGAAAGAATGAGAGAAACGTGGTAGCCTCTTTTTGTACAACTTTGTCCTTTTCCAAAGTTAAGAGGGACAACGGGTAATTTCATCGCACACAGTGGTCCGGCATTGCACATAATGGTGTAATTACCCTTTGAATGAAACTCTGCCGTCTGTGTAGTGGTGGTCTACGTCACCAGAACGGCAGAGAAGGTGTCCCAAGAAATGGTCAAGGTCAGAGTTACCAATCACATGCATGGATGGAGGAGGATCTCCCATGAAAGCAGATTAGATCACTTTATGTATTCACAGGATAACTCAGAGGCCAACACGGAAACATACCAAAGACCAAAGGAGATTCTGCTCTTGATGTTGCATGGGACTTCGACTGTTCACAAACATTGGCCTCTATCCTTATTTCATTGGTTTATGAGTTGCCAGAATCACCCACTACAATAATCCAAGTTCCATCTATGTCAGCATCTTCAGACATATTTAAGGTGGGCGTCGTGTTCCAGTAATTTCATGTTGAGCCATGTTCTACTGATGAAGTGGATGATGAAGTGGCTGTCCACATTTCAGTTGGGCAGTCTGGACGGCTTTTAGCTTTAACCTGTTGTCACCTACCTAGCATTTCCCTTGCATCATTTTTTTCAGAAATATATTTTTGAGTGAATGGAGTGGTCTTTTCGCTGGCACTCCAAGCCTGGGCTTGAATAATTTTATTCCTAAACTGATGCTAACTTTGCATTTGAAGATGCAAAATGTATTCAAGCGCCCTTCCCAAGTAGCAAGAAAAATTTGATTAATGCATTGCATACTGCCTATAGGCAGGGAATAGGGTTTTTGGGCCGAGAGCTCACTGTCAAGCTCTTCCAGTTTTCATTAGCATCCTATTTTGACACATTATCCTCTTCTAAGGGTTGACAAAAAGCGACAAACAATTCCTAGCTTCTTTTGTCTTAATTATATGCATGAGATCATGGCCAGGGGCAAAAGTGGATGAGGGATGGAGAGAAAGAATGAGGGAGGAATGAGAGCGAGAGACTGAGAGAGAGTGAGTCTCTATCAGCATTATAAAGAGGTGCTATAGCTTGTGATGAATAGCCCTCCCCAGTTAGCCCTATCCATGAGCATCACCGTGACTAGAGTCCTCCTGATATATTCACAGCCCGATCTCAGTCTCCTCTTAGTTTTAATAAGGTCATCAACTTGACTGAAAGATGCATCCACTGATCAGGCGCTGTCTGCAAAACGGGGTTCGGAGTCATCCTTCCCTCATCATCAGCCACCGCTGCTTCTGTCAGTGTCCCTTTTTCATTTAAATTAGCCATCTGTGAATAGATTGTGTACCACGCACATACCACATATAGAGTGCCATGATCCCTCTCTGATCGCTGCCAAGACCAGTAATTGGGAATGAATGGCAAGTCATCAAAGTTCAAGAACACATGTACCTGTACAGTACATGTGTGTTGGAAGAGAATACGGTATAATGGTCATACTTAGCCGTTTAGAGCGCTTCGTCTCTCTCGCTCAGCCTTAGGGTTTCCAGTGAGTGATTCATGCTAGTATTTGGCCTTTTCTTAGCTTGCCCTAGATCTTATCACAATCCACCAGGCTGATTCTGCATTCAGGAGGATGCACAGCCTGAAAGATAGCTCCCTTCAACTTATTGAAATGCGCTGAGTGCCGTCTTGTCAGTTGTAAAATTGTGTGAAACCAAGACCAAAAGCATAGAGGAAATGCTGGCTCATAAATCATTGTGCAGCATTCCCTTTGACACATTCTAACTCAACATCCTACTATTAAATCCGGCTTTGCCAAATATCAGTGCAGCAGATACTCAGATACTGTGCCGAATGTGTGAACTATTCAAACAACTGGGGATTGAGGAGCTCTGCGTGGATAGAGTAGTGCTTAGCAATGGAGCCCCCAGAATGTTGCCTTGGACCTTTCGGTGATGGCAGAAATAGTTCTGCAAAGCGATGAAGATTCAGCACAGTTCCTCCATAAAACAGTTTCACTAGATTTCCACACATATTGTATATACTGCTTATCCCTAAATGACTCTTGCTTGCCAGAAGGATCACAAAATAAGGTCTGAAAGATCATTGCTGCAGTGTTGGCTGGTTTAAGTAGTTCTGTCAATCACTGATATGTTGACAACATTCCCTTGGCAAGCACTTTTTTAAAGTACATAATTTACGTGCTGCAGCGGCACGTTTCCAAGTGTCGGCTACAACACTACGCTGGCACGAGGACGGTTCTAGATTTTAAAATCTACTGACGACTCACAATTTGGTTGAAATGTTATTTCCTTGAACGAGGAGAATGTATATATCTTAATCTCATTTGATAGCTGTGCCTAGACAGAGTAATCTCTTCCAACATTATGTGCAGCATGAAGCTTATCTCTTTAAAGAGGATGCTTTTTCTTGTTTTACCATGAAACTACTTTTGACTGAAAGAGCTTCAAAGGGCTTCTTTGTTTCATAATGTGCATGCAGCTCATTCATGGGCTTGATCTTCTTATTTCCTCCCCCTGCTCTCTCTTTCTCTCCTTTTCTGTCACTTGTATCCCTCTTTCGCCCTTCCTTTCCTTCCTCTCTTGTCTAATTTGAAAACATTTATGGATCCATACCATACCCCATCTGAAATTGTAAATATTAGTGCTGGTTTTTTGGGAGGAAGGCAATTACTCTTAACAGCCGGTGCCAGTTCCTCCGGTTTCTCATGGGGATTACTTATGCATTTGTTTTCAATTTCCTCCGGCTTTACTTTTGCCTAGATTTAGCCCTTCTTGAGCAAAAAGCCTTTCTAATATGCAGGGTTTTTCACTCCCTTCTCTTAATCTGTGGTGATCTGGTCTTGCAGTGTATTTAAAATGGGAGCTCACTGTTTTGTCTCCATTTCCAGCGTTCTCTCTCCCATTATGAAATAAAATTCTGCAAGGCTGCCTGCTCTATTCTAACTTGACACAAGATAGGAAAGTAGGGTGAAAAAAACAGGAAAGAAAGCTGAAGAGGTAAATGAATCCCTTCAAGCTGTAGTTGCAAGGAGAGGTGGAGGGACTTGATTTACTGCAATGGTTGGTCACATTTGTAAAAAATATGAATAATCTGACAATTTCTACGTTTCTGGGGCAAGTATTGTACAGTGTAGGGGGGAAATTAGTAAAACAATCTGATGATTAGCGTGTTTGAAAAGGCTTTTGATTAACGGGTGCCGTACTGAGATGAGTAATGCGGAGCCAAGAAGCAGCTGCCTTGTTGAAAAACGTGCTGGGCCATTTAATTTGCTCTTGACATTCATCACTGCCTAAAAGCCTGATCCCAACAAGGGTTACAAACGAACCTGAGAAACCTAAGAAAATACCTCGACAAGCTGTTTGGCTTTCTAAGACAATTGACAAATGTATAATTTATAAACAAAAAAGCAGGAGGAAGAATAGCTCAGAATATATTATACATCACTATTGTGATCCTTACCTTTCTTTGCCATTAACAAAGTGAAAATGTGGGTACAATTTTGGAAGTGGGGTTCACATTTGAATATTACGAGTACTAATCAGAAAAAGCGTAACACAAAATGTTGTCTTGTCTTTGCAGAGTGTCAGCGAGTTTGGCTTAGACATCATAGAGACTCCTGAAGGGGACAAGTGGCCGCAGCTTATCGTTCAGCACAACCTGGATCGCGAGCAGAAGGACACCTTTGTGATGAAGATAAAGGTAGAGGATGGTGGCAACCCACCCAAGTCCAGCACCGCCATCCTCCAAGTCACCATTTCCGATGTCAATGACAACCGCCCCGTCTTCAAGGACAGTGATGTGGAGGTCACAGTGCCAGAGAATGCCCCCATGGGGACATCGGTTGTTCAGCTTCACGCCTCGGACGCAGACCTGGGTTCCAATGCACTGATCCACTTTGCCTTCAGCAACCAGATCTCTGCCTCAACCAAACGTCACTTTGCCATTGACAGCTCTACAGGACTGATCACTGTGAAGCAGCCACTGGACAGGGAGGTAACTCCTGTTCACAAACTCATCGTCCTTGCCGGTGACGGCAGCTCCACCCCCTCCAGAGCCACAGTGATTGTTAATGTAACAGACGTTAATGACAATGTTCCCTCCATAGACACTCGCTACATTATCAACCTGGTTAATGGGACTGTTCTGCTGTCTGAGAATGCTCCTCTCAACACCAAAATAGCTCTCATCACTGTTACTGACAAGGATGCAGATCTTTATGGTAAAGTAGCTTGCTACACTGACCATGATGTTCCTTTTCGATTGAAGCCTGTCTTTAATGACCAATTTTTACTAGAGACAGCTGCCCCCCTAGATTATGAGACGACTCGAGAATATGCAATTAAGATAGTGGCCTCGGATAGGGGGACGCCTCCTTTGAACACTTCAGCTATGGTTTTAATTAAAATCAAGGATGAGAACGACAATGCACCCATCTTCCCCCAGCAGGAAATCCAACTTTCCATACCGGAGAACAATGACCCCTCTACACAGTTAATAAAAATCAGCGCCACTGACGCAGACAGCGGACTTAATGCTGAGATTATTTATACTCTTGGCCCTGATGCGCCTGACGGGTTTAACATAGACAGACGGTCAGGAATTCTCTCCGTTGGCAAACGACTGGACAGAGAGAAGCAGGAGAGGTACTCATTCACTGTCATAGCGAGGGACAATGGCTCCACGTCCCTGCAGAGCAATGTCACTGTCAGGCTAATCGTCCAGGACCTTAATGACAACAGTCCAGCTTTCACACACCCTGAGTACAACTTTTATGTGCCTGAGAACCTGCCTCTCTATGGGACTGTGGGCTTAATCACAGTGACGGACGCAGATGTGGGAGATAATGCGATTATAACCCTGTCCGTTTTGAACAGTAAAGATAATTTCATCATCGACCCCCAAACCGGTGTGATCAAGCCCAATATCACCTTTGATAGGGAGCAGCAAAGCTCCTACACATTTATGGTCAAGGCAGTTGATGGAGGGCAACCTCCAAGCTCCTCCTACGCCAAGGTCACAATCAATGTAGTCGATGTGAACGACAACCGTCCTGTGTTCGTCATCCCATCCTCCAATTACTCATATGACCTAGTGCGAACCACCATCACCCCTGGCGCTGTGGTCACCAGAGTGTTTGCCATTGACAATGACACAGGTATGAATGCTGAGCTGCAGTACAGCATTATCAGCAGCATCATCATCACATCTAGGGTCTCCCCTCGAGGTCTCTTTGCCATCGACAAGACAACGGGTAACATAACACTGCAGGAGAAAATAGTGGCAGCTGATCAGGGGTTGCATAGGCTGGTAGTCAAAGTCAAAGATCTGGGTCAGCCTGAGTCATTAAATGCTATCGCACTTATTCACTTGTTTGTCAATGACACTGTGTCAAATGCTACCTTTATCCAAGAACAGCTGCGAAAAAGTATGGAGACACCCTTGGATCGTAACATAGGGGACAGTGAGGTAACAACTCAAACCAATGGATATGTGATTGTTGTCATAGCAATCATAGCAGGGACCATGACTGTCATCTTGGTGATATTTGTGACTGCCTTGGTGCGCTGCCGACAGACACCCAGACACAAAGTGGTACAGAAGGGCAAGCAGAGTGGCGAGTGGGTGTCACCCAACCAAGACAACCGTCAGATCAAGAAGAAGAAGAAGAGAAAGAAGCGATCCCCCAAGAGCCTCCTCTTGAACTTTGTGACCATAGATGAATCCAAGCCTGACGACCCCACCCATGAGCATGTTAATGGCACACTGGATCTCCCTGTGGAGTTAGAGGAGCAAACCATGGGGAAGTACAACTGGGCCACAACGCCCACCACCTTCAAACCTGACAGCCCAGATTTAGCCAAGCATTACAAGTCCGCGTCCCCTCAGCCTACATTTCAAATCAAACCGGAGACTCCAGTGGCCCCAAAGAAACACCATGTGATCCAGGAACTCCCCTTGGACAACACGTTCGTGGTGGGCTGTGACTCACTCTCCAAGTGCTCATCGACTAGCTCCGACCCATACAGTGTCTCAGAGTGCAGCTGTCAGGGGGGATTCAAGACTGCGGGGCAAATCACCACCCGACAGGTAATTCATGACTTCCTTTTTAAACCCACCCACACTAGTCCCCACTCACACTCCCCTTACTGTCCCATGGTAGGTGATGTGAAAGCGGGAGGGTGGCAGCATGGAGCCAAGGGATTTTCCCACACAGACCATGACCATGTCTACATGAATGTCATTTGCACCTAAAAATGAAAAGAATAAAACACAATTTGTCACAATTAATGCAGCAAACTTGTCACTTTAGCGTTATTAATTCATGTTTTCACCCTCCTTCATAAGCACTCATAATTGCATAATCATTTACAAAAATATACAGGTTAATTTCGTATTCAAAAGCTTGAGTAATGGCAGCAGTGCAATTATGATGGCTAGCTATTTTACCTTCAGTCTGAGTGGTTGGTGGCAATGTAGCCTGATTTAGAAGAGCCTGGGTTAGGCGGCAATGATTGAACTTTCTACTGATGTATTTGAGGTCAGGGGTGAATGATGGTGTGTGCTAATATATTTGATTGACATGTCTAAACATGGCATATCAAAAAAAAAAAAGAAATGGCAGCGGAAAAAGTGCGACGGTAATAGCAAAAAAAAAAAAAAGTGATTTTAACGTCCTAAAACAACTTGATAAATACTCCCACTTTTTGTGGATTTTTTTCCTTATTAGGTGCTGTCTCAGCCTTTTTGCCAGTGAGGTTTTCTGTGAGAGAATGCTGATTTGAATGCCAAGGTACAGCAAAGGGCTTATGATTCCGTAAGAGATATGTGCCAAATGCGAAGTGCCCCAATAAATAAAAGCTGGCGAGGGAAATAAATGTAAATCAGAGTTAAGGAGAGGTGGCCTTGCTCAGTGTTGACAGCCAGAGCAGAGCACTGTGGGGAAGGCTGAGCACTTCTTGGGGCATGGGGAGGGGGTCACAGAGATCAAGGTGACGCAGAGCCTTGAGACCAATATACTTAAACATCAACGGAGCAGTAGTCCATAAAAAGCCTGCTAGGCAGACGTTGCATTCAGCCCATAAATGCTCTACTTTAATGACCCCCAATTATTGTTATAAATGGCATATGTAGATACACATGCTTTACATTCTTTAAATTACCTCACATAGGAGAGGCTGTAATGGCTGCTGTGATGTGTTGTAGTTTGTGTTAGAGAGGATACTGAAGATCATTCTATCCCCAATATGTACGAGTTGATATTTGACCTGCTACCACCAGCACAATCAAGGCTGCGCACCGGGTAGCAATTTATTTATACGGTTATGTCTCTATCCATATTTCCCCTCAGTGTCAAACATCAAGTTGAAATTGTTGCCATTTTCAACCATTTTATTTTTTTTGTGTTTCATTTTGTGATTTTATTTTAGGGTTTGGTTGTTGTTGCATTGGCTTTCGTTTTTGTTACTGTTTTGATCATAATTATCCCAACTGCCATTCATCCAATTCTGGGTCAATTTCATGATATTGCATCAATAATTGATTTTGTTTGATGAGGTACTTGCTTTTGTTTGTGTCTAGCCTTATATTGCACAGTTTTCAGATCTTTGGTTCATGTCTGTCTTTTTGCTCCCAGTACGCTTCTGTGTGACATCTATAAGCATTCAAATATTCCTCATGGCATAGTTTTGAAGAATGACTGTTGATCCTGTGAAGTATTGTGCTCAGGATAATTTATGAAGACACCCACACAGAGTTGATAGTCATTCCCTTCATCCACCTTTTATTTGAAATCCTGGTTAAAAGCTATCTGCCACGGTACATTATACATAAGCCAGCTACATGCCCTTGGTACCAAAGATTAAATTCATAATGTGTTTATACGACACACTGACGAGTTGTCAGGACAATTTTCCCCTCTTACTGGTATGACTGCCCTGAAATATGCAGAAATATTCAGTATGTGTTCTACAATTCTGAATTATTTTCTATCATGAATTTTATGCATCATGGACTTAAATTGATTTTCACTTATGTTGCTGATCAGAGTGGAGTATTTCTGTCGAAATAATTTAAAAATCAATGAATATATGATTAGTAAACATCCTACCAAATCTTCAGGCTCTGTTTGAATCAGTTTATTTCTAAGGGACTGTATACTTATTCATTGCTCAAAGAGAGGTCAGGTTCAGTCAGTTTAATATTCAAATGTTTTGGTGCCACATGCTCCCAGAATTTAAATATTATCAAGAAAAAAATGTCCTCGTTGGTTCTACTCACCAACCATATCATCAGTGATGTTAGGCTGATAATATATCTTTTTTTTTTTCTGTCCCCTTGAGCAATTGAAAAGTGAGGACTCCCACTTTAGACATTAGATTTCCCACCAGTTTTAAGTGTGCTTATTTAAAGCCCCTGTCATGAAAAAAAAAAAAATAGCATGAAGCTTTGCTTGAGGAGAATCGGTGGCTGCAAAGGTTAATTAAATGCACTAAAGGGTTAATCACTCGTAGTACAGTATGATTAAAATCACCGTAATTAGGTTTGGAATGAGGCTGATAAGAAGAAAAAAGGCAGCCGTCCTTTAAGATTATCATTGATGCCACGCACTATCTTTGTGAGAGTCGCGTTGTCAGGATCCAAAGTGATGTGACAATAGATGACCAGCTGGTTGTCAAAGCTATTATAATTCCATTGTTGCTTGATTTCATCTTTGTGCTCCTTTAAAGTATTTCTGTTTTCTAAAGTCTAAAGAAGAACACTTAAAAAACAGCACTCCTTCAAAAAGTGTGGTTGGTGCTTTTATCTGAGGAGGTAAAAAGATTTTTAAGAGATTATTTCAAATGTGGCTGTTAAAACAAAAGCTACATTTGGTCTGTCAATGCCAGCTATTCAGTCTCTCTTTGAGCCTAAACCTAATACCAGAAGTCCAAAACTAAAGATCACAGGCAGGTCTTCGCCTTTTCTTTTTTGTTCATCAGAGTGACAGATGGTGCTTTAGGGCCTTTACAGTGATCTCTCTTTGCCCCACACCCTCCCACGCACCTGAAGCAGCTGAAAATAAAGCAAAGACAAAAAGCCTACCCATGGAATAACAATGTGGAGGGCACAAAGGGGGAGATGTATATGGTTGAAGGTCACCAAAATGTTTTCAGGGACTTTACAGATGTAGCTGATAACGAGTAAAGCTTGTTAAAATACTTCAGAGACCACAGATTTGTGTCACCATATGGCTTCATTATTCAGCGAGAGCTGTACTCGCAAATGCGAACCTCCTCCCTCCCCTCACCACTCTGTTCAGTTTTTACACATCTCATCGTTTTCTTTTAACCCCTACCCCCATGGTATTAGAGGTCAATCTGCCTCCAGTGATGAGGAGCTCTTGTGAGTGCATGTGCTTTAGCGGAGGCAGATCAAATGAGTACCACCCTGCCTGAGTGATCTCACACATCAGCATGAATATGAAGGGCATAAAAAGGCTAATACATTATTTTGTTTGGCCCATAATTCTGGACACACGGAGCACATAGGGTCAGTGCTGAACAAAACTCCTCCTGTGACTCAATGTAAGATAAGCTGCTGTTGGTGTTTTTGTAGTATCACACACACACATGCACTGCAGTTAGACCTTAGACCATAAGTGTTGTAGTTATGCCATCTTTAGAATGCAATTCATTATATTATTCATAAAAACAGATCACATTATAAAAAGGATTGCATCACGAGGGCAGCATTGAACACAATATTTGCATCCCTTCATTTATTTGTGTGGGCGAAGGTATTGGCCTTTCACACTAGCCACCCATGGTCTGATGACAAAGCGCTTGTGCTGACTCATAATGGGTGCATAGCCAGGGGTAGAAGCCATGATTTTAAAAGGCTAACTAGGCTTCTTAATCAAATCTGATGTCAGTATTAAATCTTTGCTACTGATTGTGGCTTTATTTTATTTTCATTTTTTATTTTTTTTATTATTATTGTTGTATTTCTGTTGAGTCATTGCATTATGTGCATTACTGTGCCTTGCTAATGTAAGCACCATCAGGTCAGATTTCTTACTGATTCAGATACTGGCAGATGTGTTGCTAAACTTAGGAACAACAAAATGTCATATTCTGTACATATCAGAGGACCCACTGGCAAGGGTTCGAAAGAAAGAGTGGGCCTAAATTCATCCAAATGGCTTTTTTGAGGGGGAATGAAGAGTGCTGCACTAGTGTGGTGGGAGACAAAAAGACAAATTGGGAGTGATAATTGGATTGCATGCTCTGATAAGTACAGGAAAATGCACAAGCATGTGACACTTACAGCATTCTTCAAGGAAACCTGACAAGATAATGACTTGATTGCCAGCCGTGCCTTGAAGAATGCTTTTTTTTTTATCTTCTCCACTCTCTTCGGAGATTTTTTATTCAGTGTTCAGTGTAGCCTCACACTGATAAGGCTACAGCTTAGGCTGCTCAGAGCTCGATGATATTGTAACTACAATCTCCCTATATCTGTCTGTCTCTCTATATTTCAGGAGACGGCACTGAAACCACCACACTATGGCACACTCTGTGGCACAGGTACAGCTCGCTCCCACAGGATTAAAATCAATCTCTAGCTCCCACTACCTAAAGCGAGAAAGAGAGAGAAAAGAGAGAGAGAGAGAGGGCAGAGGGAGGAAAGAAGGAAGGAGAGAGCTGAAGAGGTGAAACAAGTACTTTACTGTCTCTACTGCCTCAAACCCCATCTCTTCATACAACCGAGAGAAAAGATGAACTTGGAGGGGCGGCGGGGGGGGGGGGGGATATCTCAGAAAACGAGAGACGCTTCATGTTGCCTGGCTGAAACTTGACAAAGCTCCACCTGTGAATCCGTTGGAAGTTTAAAAATGCTTTATTGAGTCGTATGCTATTACTTACCTGTGTCAGTGAGGACGATACTGTATGCCCTGAACCCCTCCTCCAAAACATGTCCCTCTCCAGCACCCACTCTGTAAAATAGGTGTTAAATACAGTCAGTAGATCTGTAAATTATGTTTATATTTATGTATGTCACAGAGTTGATGGTGTTTATATTTATTGATTCCAATTCTTTGCTTTGTT